GTAATTCTGGCATTGTTTTTCATCCGGACACTTAATTTCTTAAATGTTATCTCTGTTTTTAAGGGGCGTTTAATTGAGGCGGTAGTATGATTTTGCTATATAGATTCGGAATTTTTGTTACATAACCAAGTTTTCCAACTGGTCAGTGTTTTTATTTAGTGTTTAACCAGTAGCTAAGTTTTCTTTTTGAATTAGTTGCATGATCACTCATTAGCATCTTCACTTAGTCATTTTAAAAGCAATGATTGATTTGGCTATATGTACATTTTAAATGCTTTTCAATGATTATTTATATTTTTATAGGCAAATCTAAGACGTTTGGAAAAGTTCAGTGAAGAACTCTATATTAAAGCATCCCTCCTGCGAAACTATTTCGAAGATTCCGCTAAACTTAGAAAGACACTCGAAGAATTTGCCTCTGTGGACAATGGACAGTTCACCGGTCCTCTAAAGGAAACTTTCGAGAACTTGAGTTTCGTAAACGATACATTATACGGTATGTTTAATTTCACGCGTATTAATTGGTGTTTTCACTATTGTTTTTTCGTCTCAGCTGTGAACACCGTCATGGAATTGCAAAGCTCAAGTAATACGGGGCTTTTCGGTAAGAAACATGAAAAGACTACCCCGTTGACGCGAAAGAGCGAAGTTTCCCGCCGTTGTTCCACCATCGTAGATATCAGCGGCGTCACCAAGGATCGCTCGCGGAAGTCCCTGGAATGCCACTCGAAGCAGCCCTTTACTTTTGATCGCCTTTAATTTACTGTGTTTGTACATAGTTCATAATTTATTTTTTGTTTATTATTTATTAAAAGTTTGTTGGTTATGAATATCACATTCATAAGGGTTTATTCAGCTGAGCATGGTAAATACGTATGACTGCGAAGCTCGTAAATATTACAGCAATACAATTATAGTAACGAGAAAGTAATATATGAACCATATAAAAATATGCAGTCATTAAGCAGGAATTTTCGGAAGGCCAAATTCGTCAACGGGCACATCTGTGGTAAGCGCAGTCGGCTCTTTACCGGGCGGCTGTTTACCGGGGGTTATCGGTGCACTAACCGCCTCGTCCAGGTATGACGCGTCGGCATCTTCGGCCATTTCGTCGCCGAGTGCTTCGAGTTCCGCTTCTAACTCGTCTTCGTCTATCTGAACATATGCATAGCGACAAAAAATGATAATAAACGTAATAGATCCTTACATCCGGGGTCGCATAGTTGCGACTAAGTGCTTCCTGAACTTCATTGGCCTGCTCCAGCATATCGGCCAGGTCATCCTGCAGATCGTCAATCTTGTCGATGTTGATATTCTTGTACTGTTTCTTCATCTCCTTCAGGCCGGTCTTCATCGCGTTTACAGTAACATGCGTGTCTAAAACATGAAACACTGTGACTTTAAAAACATTAATATCATGCAGAAGATTACGTATTGTAACAAAATCATGTGCGGCTGATCTGACATTGCAGGTGCTCAAATAATTGAGCCGTAGCCTGCTTGGACGTTCTTCCTTCCTAAGGGACTAGGGACAAAAAGGCGGGGCAATAAGCCGTGAAATCTGGTCTTAGAGTAGTTATAAGTTGTTTCCTTCCATTAGTACACACCACACTTAATACGTGACCTGTTGAATTACATACTACATTTATGCCAAACAACCGTAAGGCACGAAGAGTACCTACATGTAATAGTGTTACATACATAAGTACGCGGAACTATAACTTTACGAGTACTCTGATAGCGCAGTATACAATATATTTAAGTATATTCATATAGTACACTATAGCCGCGAGTTAAACTGCCAACTTTTCAATAACCGCCTTCCACATATTACTACACCCCTAGAAGTGTAAGCAGGTATTTGAGCCCCACAATGCAAGAATGGTTTCGTATTGTTCAATTCGCAAAGCAAGACATGCCCCGTAAATGCGATCGTGAATTTTAACGTATGCTCTACTATTAATACTATACACTAGCGATATACTATTAGTACGTTATTCTCTAATGTACATGAGCATGAATATTCTGATACATGCACGATACAGCATCATATGGTATTTGTAATAAAAACAACAGAACTATATAACGCTAGTAGCAAAAATAGAACTTTATATACTGCTAGTAATGCAGATATACACAAAATTTATAAAGAACTGTACATATCCTGATAGCAGTATCATATGCTATTAATGTACCACATACGGTAAAACCACTATCTAATAATGGCGTTCACTGTAAGGGGTCCTTCACATAATACATACTACGTGCCGTTTAAATTCCTGTTGTTCTAAAATGTAACCTACTACAGTGCAGCAGTGTACAGATTTGAGAAAAGCACTTTATGCTATTAACATAACTAGTATCATAGCAGTACTGAGTTCCATCCAGCTCAGTGGTAAAGTGCTTTCTAGATGCTGTCTGCTAGTGGCAAAAGTTTAATGTAATTACTACATACGATACTTTACAGTACGTAGCGCATATACTACTAGTATAGTACAATGCAGGGAGATATTGCAGAGCAGTGTACATATTCTCACACCAGTAGTATATTCCATACTGTTATACCCCGTACTGTTAGACGAAGATTTATATCTCGACCGCCAAGGCTATATATGTAAGAGTGTACACTGTGCAGTAATACAATGCACTAAATACCGAAGAAAGAACACAAAAAAAGAACTTACCTTGAAGGGTCTGGATTGTGTAGTTCGACTGTTCCATGGTGAAGCTTTGTTGTAGAAGCTGATCTCTTTGACCTTCGTACAGACGCTTCTGTTTTAAAACTCTAAACAAGCGAAGTACTGCTTCAGAGCAAACCAGGTTGCATGTCTACTCGTGAAATTTTGTCGATGCGTATTAAGTTAGATTAGGAATGCAAAAATTTGGTTAAGGTAAGGAGCCTTCAGAGATAGTTCATTACAGAGCCAGAAAGTGAACGGAAACAGGTCCTTAACCATTTTATTAATAAAACTGATAGATAGATATGGCAGCTAGTTATCGTTCAAAGTAATGTTATTTCCTTATAATTTCTGAAACTCATTTCAATTCCTTCTGCTTCAATATTTTCTCACTTCAATGGTTCTAGACCCGAGGAAAGAGACAGAAATTATTCTTTATTATACCTGACGCTTTTCCAGTTCCTTTCAAACCATGTTCTCCACCTTCAGAGCAATCTGTGTTTGGTCAATGGACAACGTAGTCTGACTGAATAGTCGGCAGTTATAATAAAGCATAATATCTGTCTTTTTTGTGTCTGAAACGAATGAATTTCCACTTTACTGATACATTCTTCACTTACACTTACAGTTCCATGAAACTGCACATCAACATTAAAATGGATGCGGTGAATCTCGAGATTATTAAGCTATGATCAAAAGACTCGGCTGAAAAAACTGGATAAAATTCCGGTGGAAATTACTAATCGCGCATTTGATTTGAACACGGCACTTCCATGAAGCAAAGTAAGTTACTTATGCCCCCCCCCCCAGTCAATTATACTTTGCTGATACTAGTTAAACACATCACATGCCTTAAAGCCTTCTGTTTAACGGCGTTTTTCGCTGGACCGTCGCGAAGCTTTCTCATTTGATCCTTGTACTTGCCCAGTTCGCCGTCCAGACGCGAGATCTTCTTGTCGATCGACTCGCAACGCGAATCAACGTTGCCGATGGCGTCGGTCAACGTTGGAGGCGGTTCCTTTGGCTTTGGCCGACCGAACAGCCGATTCATTGCGCCAAAAAACACCTCGAAACTCTCTTAAACGAAAGTTATTAAGCTGGTAGTTGAACTCAACAATACGCAGAACATAGTACCTAAAAGTAAATCGAAACAACAGGCCAAGGCAACTACATGCATACGCCACTTGCGTACAAACAGTTATGCATAACTACATAGCTATATGTCTGACAACATATGTTTAGATACTGTATAACTATAAATCATATCTAAATAAGGCAGTCACATTATCTACGAATACCACATATGTCCCTATACAGCTACATACTACTTAGAACAACTACATTTGTAAACCATTTATTACATAAAGAACAACTGTACATCGCTACACAGTTTATTATACACAGACACATACATCTAACTAGGCACAGTCATATGTACAGCAGATAACATAGTCGTACGTATGCCATATACTATATCAACATATGGTTACATGATGCGGACCGCTCTATATTAGTTATACTATATTCGCATTATACAGTGGAACAGCTCTCCGATAAAACTTAGTCACCTACCACTCATACTATTGTCGTCATAGAAAGTCTACCCGCTCGATCGTCGCCATAGTTAGCAAGGGTCGTATATACTGCGTTCCGCGTAAGTCTACCCGACCAGGTTTGGTTAATAAAGTATAGATGAGTCTGAAGACTAAGCTCATAGTGTTCAAGTCGATCTTCAACCATGCTTACCTACGGTCATGAATCATGGACCATGTGACTGAAAACTTCGATCCCAGATACAATAGACTGAAATGGACTGAGACGAATCACACGCTTTGAAATCGTCCTGAATTCTGATATCTGAGAACAATGGAGTACGGCCTCTCTGCTTCTTCAGACTGTTAAACCGATGGTTTCGGCGATCTGGTCTGCGACGATTTTGGCAGGTCCTTTGAATGGTTCTAAAAAGGAACGCGAACAGTAACTGTGTCCAACTCACCTGCCGAAGACCCCGGGGACGGCCAAGAATAAACTACGGCAAGTGTACGGAAAGACTCTACTTCAAGCCTGGGTTATGCTCTCCCTAAGCTCAAACGCTGGGAGGAGAATTTTTTCCACTTTGCTTGGAAGTTTTTTTATAAGACACAACTTTTCATTCGTTTTCTTCAGAGACATCCATTTGATCCTCTCCCACACCCATATTTAATCACACTATTATCACACTAACATCTCATGAACCGACTGACTAAAGTGCAGAAATATAACTTCAGTAATACCCGAACGTTATTAATATTAATCATTCAATCAGTTCGTCTAATTTAACCTTTAAGGATCCTGAGTCCGTAGGAAAAATCAGCTCGTTTTTCATCTGCCAGAAAAGATCTCTACCCTTTCTGTACGCATTAGCTAGTAAGTCCTCTGCACGAATTTTCAGCTGACTTATACTTAATATACTTGCAACACTAGAGCCGATGCAAGCTGTCAACAGTTTACAGCAGGATTCAAAAAATCAGGGTCTTAAAAAGTTCTGTGACACCATAGAACTTAGACAAAAAATGCACCAAACACTAAGAAAAAGCAAAATTATTAGCAAAAGGGTTAAACCACGCACTAATAAGACCCCATGCCAATTATTCATGCACAAACTCCGTTAGAATTTAATTGAATCCTAACTCTTCATCGAAAAATCGTACACACGTTTTGATTATCAGGTGAGACTACTTCTTGCAGAATGAAAGTTCCAAAGGTCAATACTAGGTCTTCATTGACGTATTTCTTTCCTTTTATTTGGAAGTTACACTTTACGCTAGAATTTATTCAATTCGCTAATAAGTTAATGTAAATCTAGTGCAAAAATGTTTCGTGCGCGTCATCATTATACACCTACCTTAATACAAGTCACCCCGAATCGGGCTTCAGCGATATGTCCGATT